CATCTTTCACCATCTCTGGAGTAGAAGTGACGTCCGTCTAACGATCAGAGGACGTGTGCACTGCTCAGAATTTCTCTTTGTCTACCTTTATGGCTGTGAAACACGGCCATTGAAAGTGGAGGACTTGAATCCAAGAGGTCTTTGACTGTTGGTATGAGTCACGTAGAGTGGTACAGACTGCCTGCTTCAGGTCGTCGTTATGCTCACAACCGTTGACTTGGAACTGCTTGTGATATGATCGGAATCGTTCAGATGCATTAACTCCTTGCAATCTGCCAGATCTTTTAAGTGATCATGTTCCTCAATGTACTTATTCTTCTTTCTCCCTCAAAATTTCTGCTCATCATAGTTTTTTTGAATTTATCCTTTTACCACTACAAAAGATACATATATATATCTAATCTTGCTTCTTGAGTGTCTTGTCTTGTCTTCCTCCCATTGTGAATTATTCCACAGGAAGCTCCCTCAACGCTTCTTAATTCTGCGTCCGCTAACAGCGACTGGACTCGGAGAAAACACTACTGATAATCTCGTATAACCACACCGTCTGTTTTGGTTGAAGTACTCAAAAATGTTATCTTTCGCCAAACAGAACAGACCTCACTAGACAGAACTCTGACACGCATGCGAGACCTACATATGGTTATTTACTTGACCCCTCCGGTTAATAGAGTGAGCCTGCAAAATCCACTTTACGGCTGTTGGGAGATACTTTGATTACGTTCCGGGGATTTATAAGTGTAGGGATAGCATTGGGTGCTAGCGAAGAAAACTCGCTGCTCAACTAGATCTCGGTGGATAATGATGATATATGTGCTGTCTTGAAGAAAGATTGCCTTACGCGTTGACGTCTTTTCATGTTCTCTATCTACACGCAACTGACTGCATTTCGTATGGAGTAAAGGAGAATTTTTATCAAAAGCTACATAGTTCACTTATGAAGGCGAAAACGTCAAGTGTAGTAATTTTAGCAGGTGGCTTCAGAGTTCAAGTAGGGCAGATGTTCGCATGAGCCAATTATGTTGGAACCATCTATGGTGTCTCATCTCGACGAACCGACAGGGGTGATCTCTTTCTCCAGATAATCGCCTGTTCAAAGTAAGCACTAACTTCGAAAATTAGGAGACATTACCTAACCTGGTGACCTTCATCATCAAATCAACAACAGACTGAAATAAATCACATATCACTGTGGTAGTGATGGTTCGATATAAGACTGTGACGTTAGTATACACTCCCCTGCACACTTTATTCCGTGCACATATAGACCTACAATTGAATGTACCTATAAAACAAGGAGCCATGAAACCTTTGAGAATTCTACTTGATGTGAACACTGAATCTCTATTCGAGGAAGAAACGGCTAGATGCGTCTTTAAGATTGAAATCCTGAGGAAAGCTGGCATAATATCCGGTCAACCGTATACACAGTGGTAAAGGTCACTGGTAACTTTAGAAGTAAGGTTAATAAATGCCAGTAGATGTCTTTTGCTATTTTTGAACTGATTGACGCAGGAGGACTGGTTCCGGCAGGCTCTTAACATGACGAGGAGCAAAACCTACTTGAATGCAAGCTGGCTGAAAGTTTCTACAGCGACCGTGAACAGTAGTGGTTGACAAAAGTGAAAGAGATGAGAAAGCACCGACGTAGATCGCTCTAGATAAATAACTGTTTAGGCTTATTGGGGAAACAAGTGGAAGATACGTGATAAGCTAGACAATAGGTTAGAAAAAACAGCAAATGATTTGAGCGACTCACTAGTTACCAGGTTAAGTGTCCTTCCCTTCACTTATCCGGGAAGCCACATCAATCCGAATAGGGAGACATTTTAAGAAAGATCAGCGCGAATACAAAAAGCTCGATTAGCATTTGCCATCTTTCACCATCTCTGGAGTAGAAGTGACGTCCGTCTAACGATCAGAGGACGTGTGCACTGCTCAGAATTTCTCTTTGTCTACCTTTATGGCTGTGAAACACGGCCATTGAAAGTGGAGGACTTGAATCCAAGAGGTCTTTGACTGTTGGTATGAGTCACGTAGAGTGGTACAGACTGCCTGCTTCAGGTCGTCGTTATGCTCACAACCGTTGACTTGGAACTGCTTGTGATATGATCGGAATCGTTCAGATGCATTAACTCCTTGCAATCTGCCAGATCTTTTAAGTGATCATGTTCCTCAATGTACTTATTCTTCTTTCTCCCTCAAAATTTCTGCTCATCATAGTTTTTTTGAATTTATCCTTTTACCACTACAAAAGATACATATATATATCTAATCTTGCTTCTTGAGTGTCTTGTCTTGTCTTCCTCCCATTGTGAATTATTCCACAGGAAGCTCCCTCAACGCTTCTTAATTCTGCGTCCGCTAACAGCGACTGGACTCGGAGAAAACACTACTGATAATCTCGTATAACCACACCGTCTGTTTTGGTTGAAGTACTCAAAAATGTTATCTTTCGCCAAACAGAACAGACCTCACTAGACAGAACTCTGACACGCATGCGAGACCTACATATGGTTATTTACTTGACCCCTCCGGTTAATAGAGTGAGCCTGCAAAATCCACTTTACGGCTGTTGGGAGATACTTTGATTACGTTCCGGGGATTTATAAGTGTAGGGATAGCATTGGGTGCTAGCGAAGAAAACTCGCTGCTCAACTAGATCTCGGTGGATAATGATGATATATGTGCTGTCTTGAAGAAAGATTGCCTTACGCGTTGACGTCTTTTCATGTTCTCTATCTACACGCAACTGACTGCATTTCGTATGGAGGAAAGGTGATTTTTATGAAAGTCTGCATATTTCTTTTTATTGTTGTTCTTTTTGATAAATTTGGGACACCTCTGTCCGTTAATTTCTCGGGTTTTTATTTTTCCTAACTTTTTTTCTGGACTTACCCTACGTAAATCGAAAGGCACACTAATATCTTTAGAAACGTCTATTATCACAGTGATCGAAATTCAAATGTTGAGCTAATACATTAATATCTTTTTTATTACGCAATATGCAGAATGATAATCAAATAGAAGTCCAATTACGTAGTGAATGTATACTACAAAGATGAGTTATAAAATGGGTCATTACAATAGCCCCTCCGTAGAGTGCAGGTAAGTGAAATTTAGCTGTATTTCTAATTTTATTTTAATTTAAAATGACAGAAATATATATGAGTTTCTGGTTTGAAAACCGAATTGAGGATTTTAAGTTTTCTGAGGTACGCTAATATAACTGTACATATTCGAAAATGCTAACAACTTTGAAATGAGCCAAAATGTTTAGAATGTTGTGCAAACTGTAACAATAAAAACGTAAAAATTATTAGAATAATAATGAGGTTGTTATTGTAAAGTGTGACAGAATAGATTTATATCTTACATACAGTTAATAGCACAGTAATAAGGAAGTATGGAAATGATTTAGAAATAAATTGTCTGTACAAATGTTTGTAGCCAATGTACTCGCCTGCCTGACCTTGTGTTTCTTTCTGTTTTGTTGGCCCGAATATCACTAGGTTTTGAATCTTGAGAGCAGGAATCATTTTGTGGTGTAGCTTTAGATGGTGTTGATTGCTTGGGTAAACATTCAGCCACCTCTATTTCCATGAAAGCTGGTTTTCTACGATCGATGCTTACATTCTCGTGTTTCCCTCCGCGTTCGACAGTGATGATTTTGTTTGTTCTGTTTATTACTTTAAACGGTCCTGTTGTAATTTATTTGTAATCGTAGTATTAGTATTTCGAGATGACCGAATTACAAGAATCCAACCAAAACACGGAGAGGGCGGAATTCAGGAATTTGTATTTAGCGGAATTATAATGCAATTCATATAAGAAATATATTCACAATCAACAGTAAGTATTTAAACAATACAGAGATAGAAACTGTCAATCACCACAGGTCCGTCATCAGGTGATTGAAGTGGTTTCCTTACACCGTTGAGTCGTGTGAAGACATGAGTGCAATCCTCCAGTTTTTGTGGCATGTATGCTTGGTTGACCTGATGTCCCGGGGGATGATATCTTAAAAGGCTCATATGTTGTCTCAGCTGTTGCGCAAAAGTAGTTTCGTCAGTTGGAACTTCAGTGGCTGGGTTGAAATATTCTCCAGGCAGTTGTAAAGTAGTTCCATAAACTAATTCTGCTGGACAACATTCGATATCTGGTTTTATTGTTGAGCGTATTCCAAGAAGTACAAGTGGTAACTTGTCACTCCACTTATCATCATCCTTCACTACCATTAATGTTGCTCTCAGTTGGCGATGATTTCTCTCCACTAAGCCGTTTGAACTGGGATGATAAGCAGTAGTACGTATACGCTTGATTCCCAGTAGTTCTGTGAGTTGTTGGAATAAATGCCTTTCGAATTGAGCACCTCTGTCAGTAGTAACAATGCTGGGCACTCCGAAGTTGGAAATCCAATTCTGTATGATGCTCTTTGCAACAGTTTCAGCCGAAATATCAGGCAAGGGACTAGTTACTGGCCATCTCGTAAATCTTTCAATACACGTTAAGATATAAGTAAAGCCATTAGATGGCGGTGACGGCCCAACGATGTCGATGTGTATGTGTTGGAACCTACCATCAGGCTCTGGAAACTGGTCATTAGGTGAAACTGTATGTCGTAGTACTTTTGACTTTTGGCAAGCTAGGCATGCTCTGGTCCACTGTTTAATCTCGCGATTCATGTTCGACCATATATATCGGTCACTTATCAGTTTAACTGTCGCTCGGATACCAGGATGAGAAATGCCGTGTATTTAGGAGAAAACTAATCTTCGCATTTCTAATGGGACAAAAGGACGCGGTTTACCTTTGGACACATCACACGTAATAGTTAGGCTTTCATCAAGTATAACATCTTGCAAACGCAAAGAAGTACTCGTGATATTTTTTAGTCTTTTCAGATCCTCGTCCATAGTTTGCAGTTTAGCCATCTGTTTAAGGTCAAACTGATCTTTTTCTAAGGTATTTATATGGATGCGGGATAACGCATCTGCTACCTCGTTTTTATGTCCCTTGATGAATCTAATGTCTGAAGTGAACTGAGAAACGAACTCAAGGTGTCAGAGCTCTCTTGGTGAGTACTTATCGTGCTCTTCGTTCATGGCTTTGGTTAAAGGTTTGTGGTCTGTGTTGATAGTAAACGGTATTCCTTCGACCATATGACGAAAATGTTTAACAGCAAGATAGACTGCTAGTAATTCTCTACTGAATGCACTATATCTTGATTGAGTAGCGTCTAGACGTTTGGAGAAAAAGGAGAGAGGTTGCCATTTCCCAGCAGAGAATTGTTGAAGAACTGCGCCGACGGCGACATCTGATGCATCTGTCATAATAGCTATAGGAGCCTCACGACGTACCAGTATAGTTTCTGAGCTTAGAGAATGTTTCAGCTTTTCAAGTGCTTCGATTGCTGAAGTATCCATGTGCAGCGATTTTGCGTAACCTTTTAGTAAATCTGTCAGTGGTTGGGCAAGCTGTGCACAGTGAGGAATGAAACGGCGATAAAAATTGACGAGACCAAGGAATCTGTGTAACTTTTTGAAAGAATCTGGGATGGGTTATTCTTATATGACTTGAAGTTGTTCTGCTATCGGTCGAATGTCTTGATTGTCTACCTGATGCCCCGAAAATTGTATAGTTTTCTCAGCGAATTCACATTTACTTGGTTTAATGACAATTCCATATTAGGCCAAGCGTTTAAAGAGTGTTTCTAAGTGATGCTGGTGCTCTTCAGTTGATTTACTTGCAACCAGCATATCATCGATATAGGCGTAAGCGAATGTGAGGCCGTGCAGGACCTGGTCGATGAATCGCTGAAATGTTTATGCTGTGTTAGTTAGACCAAATGGCAGACGAACGAACTCAAATAAGCCAAAAGGAGTGGTTACCGCAGTTTTGGGGATGTCCTTAGGTTCGACCGGTATATGGTATATGTGGACGAACGAGGTCAATTTTGGAAAATATTTGAGCACCTGCCATGTTATGAAAAAAAATCGTGAATGTGAGGAATTGGGTATCTATTGGCTATCGTCTGCTTATTTAAAGCTCGGTAATCTCCACATGGTCGTATCTATGTTGAGTTTTTCTTTGGAACCAGAAGAAGTGGTGATGACCATGGACTGTTTGACGGTCGTATTATTCCTAGATCCAACAATCTGCTGAACTCTGCTTTTGCTATTTGCATTTTGGCCGGATTTAAACGACGTGGTTTTGCCGTGACAGGTGGACCTTTAGTTACAATATGGTGCGTTATGTTGTGTTTGGGAGAGGCTGTTGAGTAATCGCTCTGTGTGAGTTCAGGAAATTTCTTTAGCAATATCTCGTACGGGGATAATTGATCTGATGTAGCTACCATCAAGCGGATACTCTCGACATCGGTGCAGATGCCTGAAATCGATCGTTTTCGATTACTGTTTATCAATCTATGGCGACTAAAGTCGACTAGCAATTCGTAGTGCCGAAGAAAATCCATCCCAATAATAGGAAAGTTTATATCGGCTATGACGAACTCCCACTCAAATGGTGTACTGCAACCAAAATTAAGTTTTTGTCTCCGAGTTCCAAAAGTTTTTATAGCAGGATTGTTCGCAGCCTTAAGTATTAATGAGGGATTTGGCTGTAAACGTTCGCTGGATGTTGGGGGAACTGCACTAACTTCTGCACCGGTATCTACCAGGAATTGTGCCGCCGTTATTTTATGTCGCCCTGAAGAGACGACTGTGAGATCGTTGTCGGCCAGCAACCGCAGTCGTCACCAACCGCTGGCCTTTCCGTTTCCCGACGCCATTGGCTGCTGGAAAGCACATGGTTGTGTGCATCGTTTAGCGTTTACACCAAATTTTCGATGATACCAGCATACAGTCTGTTGTCAACTATATTCACGTACATTGCGTGAGCGACTACGTTGTCTTCTGTATGATGCACTAGGTTGTCTATTAACCCTCATCGTCATTAATTGCTTGGTCAGAACATCTATTTTACGTTCTAAGGCTTCTATGCGTTCGTCTGACGATTTGTCGATTACAGATGTTACTTGTGGAGACATCCGTTCATACATTTTGTCAGCAATCTCTGCTAACTTGTCAATATCTATGTCTTCATCTCCAAATGCTAATACTTGCTGAATGTTGTGGGGTAACTGCCTTAGCCACAATTGGTAGAAAAACCTGGTGTCTATCTTCCGATCTCCTAAAATGTTACACATATGGCTTTTGAGTTGTGAAAGTGTTCTATCACCCAGACTAACATTGCTCAGCGACTGATCAATAGCTTTCTGATCTGATAATGAAGCAACCTTAATAACTTTCTGCTTTAAAACATCGTACGGAGTTTCTGGATCTGGATTTATGAGCGTCTCCCGTACTTGCTCTGCCATTTCATCCGGTAAGATGGAGCTTGCATAGACAAATTTTGTAGTTTGAGAAGTGACGTTGTTAGCTAGGAAGTAGTGTTCTAGGCGAGTGAACCACAAATATGGAACATTAGGTTTAAAAGGTGGTATGGATATGGTAACTGCAGCTACAGACCTTCTACTTGAAGTGTCGTTATCAGTATTAAATAATATTACAAAAAGTGTAGAAAACAATATATATACATATATATAAATCCAAATGTGATGCAGTTATCAAAGTTAATACGATAGCAATGATGAATAAATCCACTATGTGTTTACTTTGAAATGATGGCGTCGACCAGCTTTGTCGGGCTCACCAGCTTGTTGTGGTGCTCTTTTTGATCAAACTAGCGTACACGTATATCCTAGTACTTCCTCGCGTTTATTATTGTGTCCTAACGTTGCGTTTGCTCGACGTCCACAACATAAATCAACAGGTACTCGAGAAGGAGTACGAACGTGTATTGTCGCAGTAATCAGAAATCAAAAGTCGAGCGAGCACAAAAGTATCAATTGTTAACACGCAGTATTTAGAGTGATAATCAAATCAAAGTCTAATTACATAGTGAAAGTATACTACAAAGATGAGTAATAAAATGGGTCACAACAATGTCATCACAACCTGGTGACTTTCCAGATGTGAGTCTCTGCAGCTTCCCTACTACTATTGTAGGGTCTATTTAGATAGTGGCCAATGTGTTTTCCTCCGGCGAAATAGTACTATAACCATTCTTGTCTGTACCAGTAATACCCACATTGCTGTTTAACTGTTTGCCGAAGACTGAACTGAATATTTCAGCCACCTCAAGACTAGTGAGGTATTTACCATTTGGACCTACTTAGGTGCATGCTTCCTGTTTGGTTGGTTTTCTTTTTGACATGAATCGATACAAACTTTTGGGGTGGGCCAGCAGTATTTTGACAAGTTCAGCCTTGAATGACCTCCTCTCAATCCTGACTCTCACGTTACACCGGTTCCTGAGTTCCATGTATGCATCGTGGTAGGTCTGACTCTTGAATATTCACCACATAGACGAAGCCTTCCACTTTGCTTGCAGAATACGTTGCGTGTCTCTTTTCATCCATGATGACCTTTTCTTCGGCTAGCCACGTAGGGAGGGGTAGACTTCCTGGTTGGGGTCCTCGGGACGGTAGAAACCAGTGGCTGGAAACAATTGGTGATATGGCTCAAAATCATTCTCAATAGCTGGTCCAGAGGCATTCACTCTTTGCGATTTATAACATCCAATAAAATTCTATTGTTCTTCTATATTTCAAAGTAATTTACAAAGCCAACGGAAACCTACCAAAAGCGATATGTTTCCGACATCTCTGTACCTCAAAAGCCCTCGCAATATGCATCGAGAAGCCGGAGCTGTGTGTTCAAAAGAAATTAGTACAACGTCTACAACTACCATGGACCTAGTTCGGCTTGTTCCTTTAGCTTCCGTACTTTTTTTCTTTCTTCTTTCGTTCTCCTCTTTTGATCATTTCTCGCTCGCTGTGTGATTTTTACTCCCTCTGTCTTCATCCGATTCACCCCATTTTTCCAGTCATAAAATACAATTATTTTAAGTTTGTTTCCATGCCTTTCCTGTTCACATTTATAATTCGTTTAAAATAACTATTTTACAATTCTATCTTAATCTCGTGCAATTTTTGTGTTTCTAAGGCTCTCGCAATCGACATTCGCACCTCCTAACTCCTATCTGAAGTTGAAAATTACTGTTTCAATTTTGTTTCCATGTTCATTTTTACACACTTGTTATCCCTTCTATTCCTGAGTAATTTTGTTTCTAAGCCTTTCGTAAATCATATCTAGTTGAAAATAATTGTCACCCTTTATTCGCCATCGTAAATATGTGGAATCAAACAAGAATTGTATCCTTGTAAAATTATGTATCTAAATGCTATTGTACAGCTTTTGAAAATGCAACCTCCGAAAAATATCTTTGCTGAACTTCGTGTTATCTTCTTTCTAAGGTCACATAAGTAGTTGAGTGTTTCGAGCAATGGGACATTGGTGAATAATGACACTACATATTGTGATATCAATTTCTTTCCCACTATATTTAGCTTTTTGACGGTTTCTGACAAGCTAAATACGTCTTTTACGCTGAAATTCACTAGTTCGCTATGTAAAGGTTTCAGTGCCTTCATCAACCACTGCTTTGGAATGACAGGGAGATTGATACATATCTAGGATGGCACACAGTGGTACCCCGGACTTGTGGACTTTATTTATTAATTATTCATTTATTATTATTTCGGTGAACCATAAAGTCGGGGCGTGTGCGTCGCTAAGGTTTTCAATTCGCTGAGCGTACACTTACGAAACAGATTACTCTCAACTAGTGATTTTTAATATCTCAGTCATTTGGCGTTCAGTTGTGTCTTTACAAATATTCAGTTTTTGAAATTTCGTTTAGTCACTTAAAATGAGCTTCATTTTGTCTATAAAAATACTCTTATTCATGAAAACTGTACCAGGTAATTTATCAGGTCCTGTTATTGTCGGATTTTCCTTCTTCTTGAGGTCACGTAACACCACAGTGGTTCTTTTTAAGTAGGCTGTTGACAGAATGTTTGTTTTTCTTAAACTGATGGCAAAAATCGACTAGGGTACTTTTAAATATTTTGAGTTCATATTTGGATGAAGAAATTTGGTCGTTTGTCTGGGTATATAGGTTTTCAGACTGAACACTGTCTTTAAATTACTGACCTTGATTACGTCTCTCACAGAATTTTACACAGAGAGATAAAGCTCCAAATTATATCTTACCTAAGAATACTGAGGGAAAATTGAAAATATGCCAGTTGTAGTCAACTGGAAAATCAGTTTCGGTTGTTTGTGTATCTAGTCCTTTGGTTAATAATATCAATTTCTTGTTTTTTGAGCCCTCATAAGTTGATTAACTTGGTCAGTAAATAAATCCTTGAAGTTCTGAGGAAGTTCATCAACTGCATAAAGTCTTTGAGAAACATTTATTTTTAGTTCCGATAAATATGTATGGAGAGATTTGATCTGATTAACGGCAATTTGCTTTAATAACTTCTCCTTCAATCGTGTTTTGTATCGTTGAAGGTATTTTGAATATAATTCAGGATACTGGCTGTTTGAAGTACGATTTCGAATACATTTTCGCTTTCATGAGCCTAGCACTATGCTTCATGTACTCACTGAGTGCCTTTATTTGTCTCCCTTTACTTCTTCTTTCCCTTTGTTTCATTAACAAACGTTCATTTCTGACCTTTTACAACTTCATGACGTTTCCTATGACTTCTATTACCTTAGGTTTAAGTAATGCTTTCTTAACTTGTTCATTTTGCTTCACTTAATTCATTATGAAGGGATGAGAGAGTCTTGGCAATCGTGGACCCAAGTGAACAGGATGGCAGAAAATAGAACAAAACGGAGATGTGTTGTTGAAACGCTATGTTCCACTCGGAACCCAAGGGAACAATAATAATAATAATGGTAAATTCATTATTATTTGATGATCGTTCACCAATAGTACTCTTAAGTTTACACCGCATCATCGTTACTATTTCACAATCATTATTGTTGTTGTTATTTTCATCCTTGTACGTCTGGTTTATTTTCTGTAGTATTCACATTATCTCACACACCACTGATTACATTCACCCTCGAAACCTGTACTTTCTTCAATATATATATATATATATATAATTATATATATATATATATGTCTTAAATTGTTTCATCTCATTGACCGTGCATATTCAAAAACTAATTGACTATTGTTCCATCCCATCTTATACTTGTTCCACAATATATTTCTGATATGATTCTAATTTGCCTTTACTGGCTATTGTATGCTTAAATTAATGGATTTATAATTGTAGAGCTTGAATAAGAATTTATTGAAAACATTTGTTGGCTTTAACTATATTTGTTCCAGAATAAGTAGCATCTGTTATGAGAGTATTCCTAAATTAACCGACATGGGTGTCTATTCCGGTTTGTGTTGCTGGAATTTGAATAATTTAACCGTAGATTTCATCATGAACCGAAATTATATAAAGATTCACTGAAAAATTACAGAGTACCTGATACCTGTTCCAGCTATTTTATTCACATTTGAAACAAAATTAAAATAGAGTAGTCGTAATACTTAAACTCCCTTACGGAAGCACTCAAATTTTATCACAACTGGAAGGCTAATTTTTGGTGTTGCCGTGGTTTCTTAATGTTTGAAAATGTGTAGAAGTGAACTGTTAATTGATTGTTTAATATGAGCTTTCAGTGTTAACGTAACTTAATTCGCCCATCAAACTTTGTACTATCCAAGTCCTTTCATCATTTTTAACTATGGTCTGCGTTTTCTAAACTCCACTCTTGATGTTTTAATTAAGCTGTCCAAGTAACCGATGGTGTATCACTGTTCATGGCTTTTCATAAGTGATCGGAATTTTTTGATTACAGCTTTATTCCACACTGTATTTTTTGGTACAGGTATGGAATTTTCAGAATGTGATATCGGTAGCCCAAATTTTTAAGGCCAACCATAGATATCAGGAGTGCGTCGGTAGGGGATCGAACCCGGGACCATGTACATGATCGGCGAGAGTCCTAACCACTGTGCCACCGACGCACAATTCTCCTAATGTTCACTTTGACTATTAAAATCAGCGTCAGTCACAATTTCCTAATAATTTTCTGTAAGAATTAATCTACTTTCCATCTGTTGTACCTCATTTTATCAGTCATAGTTATACATTTGTCTCCTATCTCCTCAGGACACATTACATATAGTATCTATCAAACAGATAAAAGTGACCATTGATTGATATTAACATGCTGTTACACATAACGTGAAACCGTAGCTTTCAACTTAATTTGTTAGTCTACTTGGAGTAATTAGAAGTATTTTTAAGGTTAACTTATACTTTTTCCGTTATCGGTACCTGAATCACTCATGAGGGCTGTCACAAAATTAATGAACAAGTTTTTTGTGACTTTAAAAGTCTTGTTTATGAAGGAAACAAACCGGTGTGTGCCACCAACCGCACTGTCAAAGTCTAAAACTTTCTGCGTACAGATTCTATTAAAACTAATGTCGGATGACAGCGCATCATAACCGTTCACTGTAGTGATGGGAAGACATTCGATCGTTCCATTTTAGACTAGACAGGTATATAGGTGACAAGGCAGAAACCTGTTGGTATAAAGAATCGCCTAAAACTGGTGAATAATATAAGTCATCTGCATCTCACTTTGAAACAGCTGATGAATGCATACAGTATACATAAAAGCACAGTATGGATGACTCAGTGGATAAATTAACCAAACCTGTTAGTCATATTGTAAACACATAGTGCCAATAAGAACTAGTGAGCGAGTAACCTAAATGTACCTAAATCCTTCTATAGACAAAAAAGAAATCGTCAATTAGGAAATAATTTTATACACACTGTTCCTGAAGAACATTACTCATAGTACTAACCAGGAACTGATCACATTAATTTTACTAAGTTTAATTTCTCTCTCATTGGTTATATTGGGACGAAATGCCTAGTTTCTGTTGACATGTCGGCTCGTAGTATGGGTGCTCCCATGGAGTCTGAAGTTTATAACACGGTATTATTTTAGTTGATGGAGACTAGCAACGGGACCAAAGAATCCAGATGACGAATCCAAAATAGGACGAAATTTGCATCCTGAATAGTACTGCTAATCACCACCAACCAAAATAGCATTAAGCTAATTTTAACTGTTCATCAGTAGTACTGCTAGAAACTAATGAGGGTTTAATAAGTGATTCATTCTGTTATGGAACTCTAAGTATAGGAATACTGAAATAAGAGTACTGATGGAGGCACTTAAGAGGATAATTTAAGCAGCTATAGCCATCCAGCTTTGAAATGGACAACTAAGTACACATAAAAATCGTATTTAGTGTTGCAGTCACAAGAAAACTTAAACATGTGCTGGTAATTGATCAGAGCGTATTTACAGTTTTATACACTGACCACTAGCTGAAAAAGTCTGGTTAGGAGTTCATCGCCAAAGCTAAAACATTATGGAGCACAGCATACTGTAGGGTGTGAATGAGAAATAAATTTATCAGTGGTAAACCAAGCAAAGATAAAACTTTATTTTCATTGTACAGTTGATCAGCAATGCATTGGGAATAAAGAATCATACCCAGTTGCCCCTATATGAGAAATTTGCGATCCGTAAAAATGTACATCTGCACACGAAAAGTTTACAAAATCTTGAATGTTAATAATAATAATTATTATTATAAGTAGTATGGTTATTATGCGTAGAAAAATATTAAGAAAAGCTGTGGATAAATTTGTAAGTTAGACTGTTACTGTTTTGATTATTATTATTATTATTAGTTAAAGCATATTCATTCGAATAAGAAGGCTAGCTCCTTTGCTTCTCTAGCTTCTGCATCATTTTTCTTGTCATCTGATTTATGTATTACTGGAGGCTGTGATCGAGTCACCAGTCTGCGCCCAGTCTATAGGATTTGTAAGATAAAGATTTTTTAAAAATAGACGTAATTAGTGCAATATCAATTTTCTTAAATGACAAAATAAACTGTTCTTTGAAGGGATTCAGAGAAGACTGAATAACTAAAACATCGTCAAGAATGAGAATTCTGTTTTTCATTGAATTCACTCGTAAGCTCTTTATTCATCAAATGCACTTTAGAAATCCGAATATCTGCCAAAAATTGTTCATTTGTTTTTAACACTCTAGAATGAAGGTATATAAATGAGTATACAAAATAAATGTCTTCTGTGAATGTATTTAATTCTCCTTGATGATATGTTTAACTGCTTACGAAGACCAAGTTGACCTAATACCACAATTTAATATCTCCTAAATTATGTAGCTTTTGAGTGAAATTATTTCTAAACAACCGGCTCCTCCGTAGTGACTTCGAGTTTTTCACTAAGAGGTTCTGGTCACTGAATTCTAGTATCTCAAACCGCTGTTCTCACACTCTCTCAAATAGATTGCATCAACAATTAGATAATACGTTGAACAGTAAATTGTTTTGTGCTAAGAAATCATAGCTTCCCTCATCGAAATCCTACATCAACTAGTATTGGTGAAATAAGACCCTGTTACTAGGTAAAAAGTATCCAGTTCTAGTTTTTTTTCAGTAGGATACAAGAAGCCAACAAATCAGCAATATGATACGGGGTTATTGGCCAACTAAGTAGCTGCGTGTAAGACATGTGTGTAGACCAGACACACCAGTTGATAACTGATTCAGTTGTTTGAACCTTACTGTGTTTAGTGTGATGTGACTGACTGTCTGGTTTTTCAACGTAGAATCATGAAAAAAAGTCAAGCAGTTAAAAATTGCCACAATTCACTTACTGATTCAGTCACTGGTCTAACCGACACGATAATGCCACGGAGTCTTAATTGTCCTGATGTCTGAACTAGCTTATGATGTAAGAAAAATCTACAGTAAACAAAAGTTTTCAATGATTTGTGAATCCTGATTTCAGGTAAGTGATTATTGCAATGGTAAGTGAGTTGACAATATGTGATGGTTAACGAAATAACTACTGAAATCTTAAAATGGGACAAAATATATATGAAAGCAGAAATTCCTATTTGTAATAATGATTTCGGTTGATCCGTTGAGTTCAAAACAGTTTTCAACACAATCTAACATCGCCCACATAATCATCATTCATAAAATATAGCTAGGCAACTCCCCTGTTCTGGTTCACAGCACACAATCAATAATACTTACTAATAGCCTCATTAGGTGTAGATAATGCATACAGTCCAGTCATTCATTTACCCAGATTTCCTCATTCTTTTAAACTACTGGTCATTGTTAACTACTACTAATTTCTATTATTAATTATTTACTTGTTTCTTTGGTTCAGCTTTTGCACGTTCTAACGCCTTTTGTATTCGCTCCTCTTGATATATCCGTTGTTGATTCTTCTTCTCTTCTTTAATTTGTTGTCGTTGTTCAGCTTCTTTGGCCTGTTTCACTTCCTTTACTTCATCTTCAGGAAGCGTTTGCAGAAATTCTAGTAGGTCAACCATTTTAGCCTCAATTTCGTATAACATTTGTAGTGAACTAGAAATTAAGAGCCAATAACCAAAACATGCTGTCTTATTGAAAAACACTAAATTTTACTTAATAACAACTGAAATCAACTTTTTGATAAAAAAAAAGAAGGTAACTTCATTCAATAACCAAAAAGAAACCATCAGAACCTGTGAATAAGTTGTGTTGTGTACTTGCTGTTATTCACCACCAAAGTTTATGGAAGGTGTCAAAAATCTAACAGTTTTCCTCACATTTAAACACAACATTAAACACTCTTAGGAAGAATTGATCACCCTGTCGTTAATGCTGAGGATAAATCTAGGTATTCAGTAATTTTTTACTCTGTCGACGTACTGAAGATGTAAAAGTGCATGTCAAATTCTCACTGCATATTACAAACGCAAATAAAATTGGTTACAGGATTTCATCATGAGCTGACATTGGTTAGAGAACCATTGGAAAACCTTCATCAGTACGCACCCACCAAGATTCGAACCCAGGACTTTCTGGTTACAAAGCGAGCTCTGAACTGATGAAGAGTCCCAAACTTGGGCGAAACAGCTGTCCAGTACGCCCAGGTTTTCCAATGGTTCTTTAACCAATGTCAGCTCATGATGAAATCCTGTAACCAATCAACCGAATCCCTACAAACCAATACTTGAATAGCAAATAAAATTTATGGGGACAGAGGAGTAAATGAAACAAAGCAGCCTTTAGGGCATACCTAGACAATAAAAGCCGCCCTCTGGTGGATTGAAAATATGAAATTTCGTAATATACTATAATGTGATACAAAATGTTTCCAGCTGGCAAGCAGAACATGTGACATGAAAACGTGGCCTTCAAAACGGTCACAATTTTAATCGGATCAGCATATTTAACCACCGTTGCTCCGAAAGTCACCTTTATTTTTAGCTATTTCTTTGACTTCAGGATACTGAAACCAAGGTTTCATTAGCAATAAATGCATAGTTAGGAAGTTTCAAGTTTCATCGATTGTATGTCTAGTGTATGCCTGGTTTCCTGCAAACAAGTAAACTGTCTTATCTTTTTTTTAATTCACAGGACAAACGTGAGTACTCTTAAGCGTTTAACGCTCCCCTTCTCTGACAACCGTTATTTGACTGAACCCTATTCAGAACTGAGAAGTACAGAAATTAGCAAAGACGGTTTCACAGAATAACAGATTCTATGGCCATCATATTATATGAAGATCAGGTTGCCAGTCACTTACTGTCAATATATTAAAAACTGCACTGGTGCTGCTTTGTGACAAAATCTTCCCCTAAACCACCAATCACATTCTCACAAATTATTAAATCTATAGAAAAGAACGTATCTGTCAGTGATATCATTAGGTTGTGGGTGTTGCTGAGCAAAATCATTCAATTCATTCAAGACAGTTTCTTTCAAAACAGACTAATCTAATGACACAGAAAGAGTCTGCAGGCTAACCCAGAAGTTACCAAAGTCATTTAACCATGCAAAGATTATCACCCACTGACCAGTTGGCTCACACAGTCATTTTCAGCCTCAATACATCTACTATTAACGATAAAGGAGAACTGACAAACACAAATTTATGAAGAAAACTAACTGCCTGAAACGTCTATTCTCTGTAACTGCTCCACACAAACTGTTAATTCATACTAAATTATACCGCATGGTAATGAGTAACTTCTCTGAGGATTGTGTGAATTCTCCATGAAACATTTTTAAATCATCCGGTTGAGTGTCTTACCTACACATTGAAGTCATAACACCCAGTAAAAAGTTTGAGCATTGTGGATTAGATCAAATAAAGTACAATTATATTTCAATAGTTTACACACAATGATAAGTTTTGTTATTGGTAGTATTTCGAGCAAAATTATTTCCCGTGTTCACACCACTGTTGGCAGTAATTTTGCTCGAAATATTACCTATAACAAAACTTATCATTGTGTGTAAACTATTGAAATATAATTATACTTTATTATAACACCCAGTACAAAAAACTAATACAAAGACACCTACGTAGAGAATTCTTCGACTCAACAGAACACATCGTTAGGATGAAAAGGTGCCTTGCTGATGTAAACATTAACCCACCACTTTATCTAGGAACTGATCAATCAGACACATACTACCTTTCACCAGGTAGATCCAGGCTCTATGAAAAGTTTGGTCGCTTAGCACCAATCTGTCACTTTTTATTTAATTAAAAAAGTAAATAAATGGTTGCCTTCTATTTCGGTCATCAGATAAATGTCTGAGGGCCTAGCTTTGAAACAAAATCGTTCGTACAAGACCAAAATTATAAACCAGTTTTCATACATTTAACACCATTTAAACAGATACTCTTGAAAAAGTAAATAACAAGCTACCAAAACGATACCTCAATGGTGTGTCAGATTTCCGAATAGTATCTCGATAAACCTCAGTAATAGTTTCATGAAGATCGTTCAAAATTAATTTCTGCTGTTCTGAATTGTAACCCGAAAATAAAAAGTCACTGAAACAGATTTTGAAAAGATTAAGGGAAAAAAATTTATTATTATTATTACGAATTCCACTACAGATATTATTTAGAGCATTATTAATCCTGTCAAAATTTTCAGCACTTCTACAGTAAATATTTTGTGGTGGTGGAGTTCCTTTTTTTGGCAGAACTGTGAGACATTACATTTCAGCCTCAGGGTGAGTCGAATGAAATACGCAAATAGATTGGTGAAAAATCCTGTAAATACATCGTCATCATCACCACCCATGTGTCAAGTTAGAAATGTCCGCTGTATGATAGATACTGTTGGATGATGATAAATATTATTCGACAACGAATTATGGAGTATAGAAACAGCTAATTATATTGAGTTTTACCAGTCGATACATGTACATATGGAGCATCTAAAAGTTTCCAGAATTTTCAACCTCCTTGTATTCCAACAGTTCTCTATTTTGAAGCTAACTAATTCCAAAGAAGGTCAACATAAGGACATGTTAAAAGTGCTATCTGGGATGTAAGCAGTTAAAATGAATGATATTTATGTACTAACTGTACCTGGTAGACATCAGTTGTAAACAATAAAACTGGTCGTACAAATGTATGAGAATCTATTTGTTTGTTGTTGTTTTTTTAATTTATATCTTTGGAAGATTTAAACAAAGACTGAGTTAAAAAGAAGTAAGATGAAATTATTTTATCTCAAAAAATACCACATTTACTTTCGAACACAAATAGTATTTAGCCATGCTAAGAGAGAGTTGACGAGTGTTAATCGACTGATGATAGAAGATGGGTGGATATAAAGTTAGCGAAACACAGTCAAATTAAATACAAGAAACAGAGATATTTTTGATATTGTTTATTTATAGAATAACCTGAGTTTTATTTTGAGACCAGCGAAATTACTCCAATGAGATGATGCCAACAAAACGCGTCAATAGATGGTAAACTGACAGCATTAACTATGTAAGCATGATTAAATACATTTATATGGACTTAAAAATATTACATGAGTTAGAAAGACACTGCTAGAGTAAAAACTCACGATGAAAAGGTGAAGAATACTGAAACACCACTATAAATTATCAATTTTATCATGTCTGCTTAAACTATCATCTGTCTTCGAAATAACTACTAGCACTTAGATTGACGAAACTGAAGAAGTTTGAGGTCATCTATCTGATATTCGAACAACAACTAAATATCACAATGGTGAACACGTATATAAATTCATCAAATTAAGGGAGTTTTCTCTATCGATTTGTAGACATCGTTTTAAACTTCTAGTGAACAAACCTTATTTTTACCTATTTCTCAGATGTTATTTCAAAGTGAGTTTCTATATTGATTTTGTCGAGGGTATTCAATAGGTTATTCAATTCAAATCAAGGCAAAAACGCAATGTATTCTCACTGATCCTAGCCTCAACTAATACGATTAATATATGCTGGGCATTTTCAGCGGTAATTTCACTTTGTTAGTTTATCAACTTTTCAGAGTTGTTTGATTCACTCTACAGATGCTGGCTATTGACTTGCTGTAGGATGGAGTTTCCTGGAGTTCAAGTGAGAAGGCGTGACCAGTGATGTCCACCTAGTTGGGAGTGAGGATGGATTTCCTGCCGATGACATTGGTTGGTAGTTGCGCTAAAATCACGAATTGGTAGAATTTAGAACTCATGAGTCATTGAATCGGGTCCCAGTGGTTGAATGGTATACCAGCTCGCCTTGTAACCGGAAGGTACTGGGTTTGAACTCCATTGGGGGCAGGATGAAACAGCTGTCCATTACTCCCTGCTTGTTTGCAATGGTTCTCTAACCGATATCAATCCGTGGTCAAAATCGAAAAACAAATCTAATCGTTACAAATCGACTCTTGATAACTTTACTGGATTGAATAGGGTTATATCAGTTTGTCGCTCCATTCTGTCACTTTTTTTGTTATCAGAACGCTAGAAGTGAATGAATGCTGCTAATTTTTCAGTAGCAAGAAAACAAACCTCCAGAAAATAAACCAGCTGAAATAATTCACCGTCAGCTACTTTTACTTTAGGGTTTACATCTTTTTTTGATAAACTGTTGTCCAAGGTATAAACTAATTCAAAGTAAGCTATTTGGAATCCCTATTCACCTATTCCTATTTATATTTTTCAAAGAATTCTGAAGCTTTTTCTTTTTCTGTACAACTACTCCTTATCATATGAATACTGGTCCTTTAACACCATAGGGACTCACTACCATTTCCATTATTCTAGTGGAAGTAATACTTCACGTCTGTACGGTCTGCCCAAAATACATAAACCAGGACTTCCTCTTCGTCCAGTCCTGGATATGTCAAACTCTACCTACCATGGAGTGGCAAAGTGGCTAGGTGAACTCCTCCAACCATTACACAAGATGGTAGTAAATCATAGTGTTAAAGATGTTTTTGAATTTATTGCTAACGTGGATGATATTAATGTAAATGGAAAGCAAATGCTTTCCCTCGATGTAGCATCACTGTTTACCAATGTACCACTTATGGAGACTGTGGAATTCATATGCCAACAGATACTAGAAAAACAGATCGACATCGGAATACCGGTTAGTAGTCTGAAAGAGTTGCTTTTAAGATGTACTATGAATGTACATTTCATATTTAACAACCTTTACTACAGGCAAATCGACGGTATTGCCATGGGTTCTCCGTTGGGGCCAATTTTAGCAGATTTCTTTCTTGCCAAGATTGAAAATGGTCCATTGAAAAAAGTAATAGAAAAAGCTGATTCTTATTTTCGTTATGTTGATGATACCTTTATTATTCTTGATGTGAAAGCTGACAAGAATGAAATGTTAAAAAAGTTTAACGATGCACATCCATCGCTTATCTTCACTTGTGAAGAAGAATATGATGGTGGACTACATTTTCTTGACGTCCAATTGAGCAGAAGAGAGGATGGTTCACTAAAGAGAGATGTCTATAGAAAACCTACATCTGTAGGACAATATACACATTTCCTCAGTTATGTACCAATCCGTTACAAAATCAATTTGGTCAGATGCCTGACGAATAGAGCAAGACGCATCTGTACAGATGACTCTCTAGAGAATGAGCTAGGATACATCCAAAATACGTTAGTCGAAATGGGTTATCCTAGTAGATTTGTCAGGAGACACATGAATGCTAAGTACAATAAAGAGAAACCGATAACAGTTAAAAAGAAACAACTGTTCATCAAACTGCAATTTAATGGGGACGTGGCTAGTGAAGTCTTACATCAGAGATTATCGAGAGCGATAAAACGGACTTATACTGCCGCCACCCTCTGTTTGTCATTTTCCAGCCGGCCAATTTTGATTGCTCAAGTGAAAGATAAGTTACCTAGTTGTGCCACTTCCATGTGTATCTATAAATTTAGTTGCTCCTGTGGAGAAAGCTATATAGGCCGAACAACTAGACAGCTTAACAAACGCATTAAAGAGCATCTTCCTTCATGGTTCGGAAAAGGTCAAATAAAGTCCATACGAAGTTCTATTTTGGCTCATTTGATTGATATTGGTCACCAAGTGGACAAAAATAGTGCTTTCAAAGTTATTTACCGCATTCCATCAAGTCTTTCGAACGGAATCAGAACCCGTCTTTTACACTTAGCCGAAGCTATGGGAATTCGAGAGAACAATCCTAGTCTTTGTATACAAAAGAAATTTGTTCTACCTTTGTCTCTCCCTTGGTCTAGGTGAATTCTATTCAAAACCCTCCCACCCTTTCTTATCATCCCTCTCCTTCGTACTTTTATGATATTTATTTAAACTCTGATTATCGTTCCATTTGATTTGACCTAATTTATTTATTTATTGAATTGTCTACATATATGCATATACTAACTTTGTTATTCTTATCACCTATATAAGCCTTATTAACAATATTTTGTTATTATTATAATCATCGCTATTAACTTCGTTCAAAACATTTACCACAATATTATTTTTTTCACGAGTTTATCACGGATTGATATCAGTTAGAGAACCATTGAAAACCAGGGAGTACTGGACAGCTGCTGTTTCATCCTAGTTTTGGGAATCATCGGCAGTACGCACCCACTGGGTTTCGAACCCAGGACCTTCCGGTTAGAAGGCAAGCTCGTATACCATTCAGCCACTGGGACCCGATTCAATGGCTCGTGAATTCTAACTTCTACCAATTCGTGATTTAGCGCGACCCCAACCATTGTCGTTGGTGGGACATCCATCCACACACGTGACATCTAATTGGACCTCACTGGTCACGACTTCTCACTAGAACTCAGGAAACTCCAACCTGTAGCAAGTCACTAGCGAGCATCAGATTAACTTTCTATAGTTTGGTTTGTAAGGATTAGTTATGTTTTACGAGTTGATCACGGATTGATATCAGTCAGAGAACCATTGAAAACCAGGGAGTACTGGACAGCTGCTGTTTCATCCTAGTTTTGGGAATCATCGGCAGTACGCACACACTGGGTTTCAATATTATTATTATTATGATTACTATTATTATTTGATTCACTAAATCACCGTCATTGGTTAAAATTTTATATGTATAAGTCTATGTAAATTAGAGTAAAGCCTGAAGAAGATCTAATTGAAAACAATATTGTTCGCTTATATGTCTTGTTCTAATATATTTAACAGTTAGTAAGTCGAACATTGTGTCAGTCATTAGTTGTGATAAATACCGGTTGGTCGAATGGTATTATTATTACTATTAGTATTAAAACTATAGTCTAATCGATTAAAAAAGATAAACGCAAACCATGGCTTTATTTTTCAAAATGAAATCAACAATCCGTACAGTTAGATCAGGAGATTATTTTTGAACTGAAAAGTACCGCAGTATGACATTCGTTTCCATAATCCTAACACTTCAGTTGAAATCTCACAGAAAGTATATGTGTAACAACAGAAGACAAGGGCCAGGCAACAGATCGTTTTATTACGGAAATCAACACGTATTTATATATATTTCACATACACTATTATAGCCTATTCAAGTAGACAAACACCGTCTTCTGATTGGTTGTTTCTCAGAAGTAAGGCAGATAAACGCAGGCTTCTGATTGGTTGTTTTGGGTAACCATCGAAAAGTGGAGCCATCTATCTGCGAATTATATTTGCCCACGTTAAGTTTGCTGTGATTGGTTGTTGAATCAGCCTTGCTCATATTTCCTCACGGCCCATATTAGTGACCTAGACATTGGCGTAGATTTATGTCTACCAATTGGCTAGCAGCCTGCTCTCACCACATATGCACTACTAATGAGCATCAACATGCTGAAACCAGCTTGATTACTGTCTCAACCACTTATTTGTTCCGCCATTTTATTCATTGAAATCCCTATACAAATTCATAGACTCAAGTAATAACATACAATCCATAATTTAAACTAACCTCATACTCAAATTTAAGCATTGAGTTTTAATTTTTTCCGAGTTAATGGCTTCTTGAAGGGAGGTTTGGTGTTTCGATAAAATGCGAACATCCTTCTGACTAAAAAATCAAAATGAAAAAAAATTGAATATTAAACACAGTGTTATCCTTAAATAGATGTGGGTGTACAACAGTTGAGATTAGTGCATTACAGAAGAGGAATGAACATCAAAGTTTTTAGTCAAATTAATTAATCACTTAAGACTTCCGATGATAACATTCGGCAGAAAAAATAGTTTAAAAACACTGTCTATTTTCCTCAAAGACCGTTAAATGTTTTCACCAATCTTTGTTTTCTCGACTTTTATAACCAAATCAGTGTTGCATGGGAGTTTAGCAGTTTAGACTGGCATAATTATATACAGGAATCTGTTTCCGTCTGTCAATCTGCTTTATTCATACCGTGGACCCGAGAAATAATACATTTAAAAGAGTACAATAATCACACTGTGTTTTGACTAATTTAAAAATATAATTTAATAACACTGACTTTTTAATGAATCTGTCTTGATTATGTGACAGTATAAGACATACATATTATCGACTTCATTCAGAAAGTTCAAATGCTTTAAAAGGCAAACCTTCTAGAAAATAAAGACAAACAGTATACGTTTGCATACGTTGTAACTATTTTCTAATCCTATGAAATCTTGTCCCTAAGCCCCTTGTAATCTATATTCGTACCTTCAAACTTTCATATCAAGTTGAAAATTATTATCACCTTCGTTACTTTGTGGAATTAAACAAATAATAATTATATCCATGTAAACTAATCTATTTAAATGCGATTGTACAGCTGTTGAGAATGAAATCGCCGAAAAGATATCTTTGCTGAACTTCGTGTTCTCTTCTTTCTAAAACAGTAGAAGAACTACAACTTCTTTCCTTTTTTGGTCACAAATACACCATACTAAAGAATATCAAGAAACACTTATTGCGATTACCTATAGCCATTTAAAACTGAATACAACCCAAAACTGGATAACAGTATTGCATTACACTTAATAACATTGTGTGCCAGACTGTGGCTGAATCATGCACAATTATAACAACATTTTCCGCAAAGTATATTTCTATCGTATTTGAGCTGTATTTTACAAATATCATGTTTTATTTTCATTATAGTTTCAGAATGTTTAAATAAATAATAATAATAAGAGATCGAAATTTGCGTTGGAGGCTCAGCAGCAGAATGCCCTCCACCCACGCGCATGTGGTCCGAGGTTCGACCACCAGGCGACACACTTCTAAACCTCGTTCAGCTGGTAGTAATCCCGATAGAGAGCGAAGATTGGGCATGAGACTAGCAGCCCTAGTTATAACAAATTGGCGACAGGGTTATTACAGTTCACTGATGTTATAACACCCACCGCATAAAAGGTCAACACCATTGCTAGTGAAACTTAAAAACTCAAGCTTGAATCTCTTTATTTCACTCGGAACACAAAGCGATAAAATTAAAATAAATAATAAAATACCAAAATGTTAGGATTAGGAAAAAAACAATTTACTAGTTATCTACACTTTCGTTCACTTGATTCCGTAATATTTCAATGGTATCATCTGATTCTTGACAGTGCTGAATCAATCGTAAATTAGTGTCCTCTAAATCACGCATTATATTTAATATTTGTACAGGATTTGTAAAATACACGTTGTCATCCTAAAGGATTGACAGGAAAGTAAAAGACAGTAAGAAGAGACACAGAGACGACGGCAGACAATGAGGGCGTTTTCATGAGAAAGGAGTAGTTTTTATTTTAGTTGGATAAATTCTACAGTAGCCAGGAAATAAAATGTCAATTTCTCCAACTTTATACAGTTTTTTTAAAAAAAACAGACTTAGAAATAATGACAGCAAAATAATAATCGCATCTAAAAGTATAATAACTTTGTCTGACAAGTTCTTTTTTTCATTACAGCTTGATTCCACACTATTTTTGGTACAGGTATGGAATTTTCAGAATGTGATATCGGTAGCCCAAATTTGCAGGCCGACCATAGATATCAGGTGTGCGCCGGCAGGGAATCGAACTTTGGACCATCTGCATGGTCGCGAGAGTCCTAACCACTGTGCCACCGACGCACAGTTTGTATTTTTGTTTTTAGAAAAGGAACAGTTACTGTGATCACACATGAGTGTACTTAAGAGAGGCAAAGAAATTTATTGCCAACCAAAAAAATCTCAACTTTAAGGTTGATGAACAGTGAACATTCCATATTTAATGGATACATCACTTAGTGAAACAGAATCATTTACTGGAGGGTATTTCAGACACAATATATTGTTCATAATTATATCATTAAACAGTTTTTCAGTTACAGGATTTCATCATGAGCTGACATTAGTTAGAGAACCACTGGAAAACCTGGGAGTACTGGACAGCTGTTTCATCCTAGTTTGGGACTCTTCAGCCGTCAGTTGTATACTCGCAATAGTCTCTTACTTTATTCTCCCCAATTAGACGCTGTCACTAGAAGAAAATTAGTTAACACCACCTTAGTTCGAAAGGATGGCTCGTACTTCCAGTGATTCAGTTTAGGCTAACAGAGATTACACATTGACTGTAGCTTACGAGCACTCAGTGTACAAGAAGGATGTTTATTTACCATATTCATATAAATGACGTTAATTAAAATTTTCAAGAAATGAAAACTGAAATAGTGAATGATTCCATTACCATTACCATACATATAGTGAAATATTTCACTGATTAATGCTACTTGCAACTAGTGAGGAGACCTTTTTAACGAATCTGTGGATTTGTCTTGTTTTTATCTAATGATTACAGCTATTTATTTACTAAAGAAAAAAGTCTTTCCGTATAATCAACCTCAGCAAGAGTCTATTGGTTTTCTCAAAATAAAAATCCAGACTTACGATTAAATTAAAAAGGAATAAAGCTTCTAAATTATGAAGTGGTGGATTACTTTTGATCATTCTACGCCGCTTTATCAGTGTTTCCTTCAAAAAGAAGCTAAAGGAAGGCGTAGAAGTAGGAGGTCTTTGCAAAACTTTCAAAAAGTTTTTAGAAGTCATAATAATTGTCCAGGAACGCTATGTTTCACTTTATAAAGTCGGGAATGACAACTGACTAGTGTTTGGTTGCATGCTTCCTATCTCCGTGCTCCACAATGAACCAGAAGAATAACATGTCGTAATTTCCCCTAGTTTCACCTAGCCCGAACTTATGACATGTGGTGCTTGTGGCACTTCAAAATAATCCTTTAAGTCCTTAGTCAACATTTCTATCCCACCAGTGGAGATTATTACCACATATCCTAAAATCGTGAAATAAACATTTATTCATGTTAAATGAGGAATTTTGTAAATGTATTTGATCAACTAGAAAATACAAATAAACAACCAGGTGGTAATAAGTTGAAATGAGAGTGTGGATTGCTGAAGTGGAAATGATGTGTATGAATCTTATCATAATCAAATATCTGGTGTTTCATGGAACTCATATCAAATGGGAAAAGTTATAGTTTTTAAACAATACAGTATGCTACACCACAGATTTAAGTGTTTCCTACTTTCAACATCAACTTTCATCTCGGTAGCCCTTCTACTATTTTATTAACGTGTGAAACAAAAATTCGACAAATCAACACACAGGTTTTCGATTACAGCGTTCAGTCTCTCTCAACACAACTTCTCACTTCTTCATAGTACGTTAGCTACTGTTTAGTGCGAAGGGTTGCAGTTTAAATTTTGGTTTGAGAACTTAGCTTCAAAGATTTGAGTATGTTAGTATTTGGGTCTTTTGTGATTTCCATAAAGTATTACACTGCATCACTTTTCACATTTTTCCTGAAATACTTTTATGGCAGACTATATAAATATATATATATATATATATATGTAGAGAGAGAGAGAGAGAGTTAACAAATTAGTTTTGTTTACACGGAAAGTTTTTCTCAACAAATATATATACTTAATTGAATTTTTGATTTTCCCGTCGATTGATTGGAGTGAAGTGCTCGGTCTCAGGTTGACATGTGCACTGGGTTCGAGCCTCGGTGGCAACATCATCACTCACAGAGAAATGCAGGTACATCCAGATGACGAGTCCCAAATAGGACGAAATGCGCATCCTTGATTCCACTGCTAGTCACCATCCACCAATTAAATACTAATATGAATATTTATTTATATTTACTCAAAAGACGGATAACTTACACTGTCTTCACTGCTTGAACTGTCATCGTATGGTTGAATCTCTTTCAATTTTTTCACTTCTTTAGACGGTGGTCTAAGACAGAAAACGGGTTGACATGAAATCTAGTATTCTGCAAAATATACTTCTGATAGTTATATACGGAATAAGAAATGTAAGCAATTCCTGAATTAAAAAATCGTATCAGTGAAGCGAAATTGACACTTACTGCACTCAAAGTGATACAACAGTAAAATAAGTTGTCATCAGTTTCTTAGAAATATTTAGGAATACAAAATAAGTGCAACATTTAAAGAGTATGTTGTTTAGTTGAAGGAAAGACAGACATCTTCTGGAATCAGAATAAGTCATGATAGAATTACGCCAAGCAACTGATTGCCGGTAAATATTTATCTCGTATGTTTTTCTTTTCATTTTTCCATTCTTTTACTTTGTGAGTTGAACACAGAACTTCAAGCTTGTACTTTGAAGGTACCATAGTGGCAGTATTTTTTACAGGGTTCAGGAGTGAGTCGGCTGGGAATCGAACCTGAACCACCATCTCATGTACAAGCTTTCAAATGTAACCTTTTATACTTTAGAGACTATTATCGACTACTGGCTATTACTGATATGGCTTGTCTTACAGGCTTATATGTATTCATTTACCAGTTTATTACCCTGCGTAAATGACTAATTTGAAAATCAGCCCACTTTTGTAAGTGCATAATACACTGTACAAGAAGACATTATTTCCTTATAGCAGACTATAGATAATTGTGTTTACCTGTAAAAGATGCATACTGTAAACACAATATTGACTAACTTCAACTGTTTGTAAAATTTCGCTTTATCAATAGTTTTTTTCCACTCATAAACTTTAAAACGTTACAGCTTTCAGTACTATTCTTAAACTGAATTAACAGAAGTTACTGCATGGTTTTATATGATTACATCAAGTAGTAGAATTCAGGTGAGTTAAAATTCTGACTTTTGGATTCTGTAGCACAGTGGCCAAGTTTGTCAGTATGCTTAAGCATCTAATTCAACGCCTAAAGGTAATACTGATAGTTGAGAACTTTTGCAGTAAATTCTTCAGTTCCTTCAAACATCTATAAAGTCACTGTTGGTAATTTCCTTAATTTGTATGATAGAAGCAAATGTATATTATCGATAACCCTACAACATTCCAGTCTTTTTAAGAATTAAAAGGTTATTATATAAACCTCCCTTTTAATTCAGCTTTACAAAACTATTAAAGCTTACTGTAATAAATAAACACTTTGTGTTCACAACTTATTTTTATCAAACACTCATGTAAAAAGAGAACTTACGTAGTTGCGATTGACATTAGTGATGATCTTCTAGTTAAAACGAAAGATGGTCTCCGATTAGATTTTTCACTTGAAGCTGTTGATTTTTTTAGAGAGAGATTTAAAAAAGTGGACTGCATTCTATTGTTTATCCAAAATATTATTTTTAAGTTTTATTCTCGATCATTGTAACACATTTTCTTTTCACTCTTTATGACTTCCTACCTTTTTGTGTTAGGCACTTCTGTGTTAACAACGTCTATCTGCTAATTTTGACTCTCTGCTCCTTTCCCTATCTCAGTATATGTATATTTATATATATAAACTCACACGTAACATAACAAAATATTTATAGAACTCTACAGTTCATACAACCTAATCAAGGTAGTAAGGATAGAAGCTTGAGTATAAGCTTAGATATGTCTTTACTGCGAGGATATATCGATAGGGTTCTTCAGAATTGCATATGTTGAGTTTTCTGAACATCTCATACATTAATTAATGGATAATCTTTACCAATTAAGTGTCTCCAGAATTCTAATATGCACAACAAGTCCTAAGCCCCATGAAACAGTAATTATTTTATATTGTATTAGACCACAGAAGTGAGTTAAACAAAAATAAAACGTGAATGCCGGAAGTTGTTAATCTCAATGCTTTATTCTCCACTGAACTCAAGCGCATATTTGAAAGTCACATGGAGTATTAATTTATTCTAACATGTCAGATATAACCACAAAAATGTATCTAAGACAAAATCAAATTTACTATTCATATGAAGGTGTGAAAAAACGAGTAAACCAACAGTATAAAAGTCTAGAGATTTTATCATCCTATTCCCCTATGCCTATGCATCTGACTCTATATTTTCTTGATGTGGTTTTGTTCTCTGAGCTGGATGGTTAGTTTGCGAAGCTTTCATCACCTTACTGGGTGACATCTTCAGCGGATACTTCAATTTGAAGTGAGCTTTTAGATTTCTCCACGAGTTTATTAATCATGTCTCCTGGTAACCTTGGACGTGATTGGTTGTTTGTGTGTGTTTTCACACCTTCTAGGTTACTTGTATTGGAACTGATTGTTTCTTTGACTTGAACTTTGACCCTTTGTGTGTGAAGTTTCTTTCTTATTGGTTGATAAATTTTGTCTATCTCGATATGTCTATTGATTGATGATTCACTGGAATGCGAAGCTTCTAAAAATTCCCTAGCATTCTTGTTATTTCCTTTGTCTAATATTTGAACGTTGTCCCAGTCGAATTAATGTCCGTGGTTGTCTGTGTGTAGTGAAATGAGGGAGTGGATATCATGTCTTTTGACGGCTAGCTTATGTTCGTGGATACGAAGACGACTGCGAAAAACACTACATTGGCCAAAGTGGACGTCCCCTTCGTCTTCGTATCCACGATCATAAGCTAGCCGTCAAAAGACATGATATCCACTCCCTCATTTCACTACACACAGACAACCACGGACATCAATTCGACTGGGACAACGTTCAAATATTAGACAAAGGAAATAACAAGAATGCTAGGGAATTTTTAGAAGCTTCGCATTCCAGTGAATCATCAATCAATAGACATATCGAGATAGACAAAATTTATCAACCAATAAGAAAGAAACTTCACACACAAAGGGTCAAAGTTCAAGTCAAAGAAACAATCAGTTCCAATACAAGTAACCTAGAAGGTGTGAAAACACACACAAACAACCAATCACGTCCAAGGTCACCAGGAGACATGATTAATAAACTCGTGGAGAAATCTAAAAGCTCACTTCAAATTGAAGTATCCGCTGAAGATGTCACCCAGTAAGGTGATGAAAGCTTCGCAAACTAACCATCCAGCTCAGAGAACAAAACCACATCAAAATCATCCACCTGAGCTACAAATCTTCTCTATCATATCTATATATTCTTTCTATTTTAAAAACAATAAATATAAAGCTTTCTTTCGAACACTGGGTCCAAAAGTCACCTGGAACAATGATCTTAGGACTAATTTGACACGAACGAAATATTTCCATATTCAGCCACAAAAAAGCGCCAACAGAGAAAACAATTTTCCTCTCGACGATTCATTTTCATGAGCTGTACAATCGTAATTATAATTAATAAAGAAATCTTTAGACCAATCAGATAATGGTAAACTTTGTCCTTGAAAATTGTACTACATAATGTAAGGTGTAAGAAGGGTTGACTAATTGTAAGTTAGAAAGGGGACAGAAGTTGGCATGTCTTAACAAGTGTGAGATAATGACTAATCAATAGGCTCGTGTAGAATGGACAGAAACTAGTGGAAAGACTATAAAGTGTTTTTGTATAAAATCTGTATGAAAAAGCAATGTTATTAATAAACAGCAATAGAGTGGTAATAAAATGTGGATGATGGGAATAATAATGATAATAAAAGTATTAATAATAATAATAGTAATAGTGAACTTACATATTAAAGGAAAGAAGTAAAATTATAGTAAGAACTTTACTCTGGCCATGGTAGGGCAAGATAATGTATTTATCGCTTTTGTATGCGCAGGTCCGGTTTCAGATCTCGAAAAGCTAATGCTTCAGCTATGCACAGATGGCGTATCCGAAGTCCCTTTGTACGATATTGAGGGACTCTGTGTAACACTGTGAAGCATTCATGTGGGGGTGCTCGATGTCCGGAGATGACAAGGTGTTCGAGGATCGAGCTGTTGTTATTCTTCTTTTCTCCTCTGGCTAACCAAGCTGGGCAGTGTTCCAGAATACGTTTGTGGACTTGACGTTACGTAAGGCCGGTATACTTTGCTCCACACGAGCAAGTAAATTAATAAATACACATTGAAGTGAACAAAAGCGGTATCTTGTCCTTAGCGTTAGACTAGATTAACTGTCTGCAAGAAAGTGTGATACGTGTAGAGTGGTTGTTGGATATGTCTTCAGACTTTTAGAAAGGCGGCTTTTGCGAATTTCCGCTGCGATATCGCTTTTGAGTGCTACGTTCTTGAAGAGAAACTTCTTAGGAACCGTTGTGATGTTTGACACCGGAGGCCTCTCATTCATGTTTTTGTCGATAAACCTTGGTGGATACCCATTCTCTAGTGGGGTTTCACGTAATAAATTTAATTCTCTCTCTACCATGTCTTCCGAGCAGATTTTTCTAATCCTTCAACACAATGTACGTACCAGGTTTCTCTTTCGGATCAGTGGAACAAAGCTCTGAAAGTTGATGAACTGTCCAGTCCATGTTGGCTTGCGGTATATCGATCTTTGGATCGTACAGTCGTGTCTTCTGATGAGTAGTACATCGAGGAATGGAAATGAGTTGTTCGATTCGCGTTCTAAGGTGAATCTTATTGATGGATGCACTGCGTTGAAGGTTTTGAGGAGAGAACCTAATTCACATTTTTCATCACAGATTATAAACGTATCATCTACGTATCTCTTGTATAAGTTCAGTTGACTTATCAAAGATGTTGTTTTCGAGACTCGCCATGAAACAGTCGGCTAGGAGTGGACCGAGAGGGGACCCCATGGCTACTTTATCTTTCTGTACATAGAACTGTTCATTGAATTTGAACTGGATATTGAACGTACATCTGAGAAGTTCCTTCAGGTAGTTTATGGGGAGAGGAACTTCTAGGTTGTTGGTTTCGATGTAATTACAAATGAAGCATATTGTTTCGGTTAGGGGGATACTTGTGAATAGAGAGGCGACATCTAGTGAGATCATTTGTCTTTCTGACACATTGACATCCTTCGCTGAGTCGATGAAGTCAAATGTGTCTCTGAGGCTATATTTTGTCATATGTCTTTTAACTGGTTCGAGAGTATCAGCTAGCCACTTCGCGATTCGGTGATATGGTGAGTTAATCATGTCTATGACCGGTGGAAGTGGGACATTCTCCTTATGCACTTTAGGCAGTCCATACAGTCTTGGAATAATTGAATTGCATGGTTTTATTTGCTCATAAACCTCCGGTGTTATGACTGAATCTTCTTTCATTCTCTTCAGTAATTTTGTAAGTAGGTTTTCTGTTCTTTCGGTTGTGTCTTTCTGGTTGGGTGATTCGAAGAATTTGGTGTTGTCTGATATTATATTTGTCAATTTCTCATTATAATCGGATCTATTCATTACTACAATCCCACTGTCCTTATCAGGACGGACGAGGATTATGTCTTTATTTACTTGAAGTTGTTTAAGTTGTCTTCTGTGTTCCTTGGTCAGTAGATAACGGTGGCTCGGTTGCGTACGAATGTACTTGTAACAGCTGTCAAGAATTGAAGCTTTGAATTGATCCAGATCTTTTTCCGAAGTAGGTGACAAATCGGATGTCTGTGACATTAAATTCTCAAACTGCACTTTAGTTTGTAATTCGTTGGTTTTACTCGATACATGGCAAAATTTTGGGCCAAGTGATAGCACTTGCATCTGAACAGGAGTCAGAGGAAAACTCGAGAAACTAATGACATATATCTCCAGATTCTGTGGAAACCACGAAGGAGTTTCAGATGGTTTCAGGCTTTTCGTTAGTCGTCGCAACGTTTTTGTAAGACACTAGGCACGTAATCCTGGATTACCTGTCTAGTGTCTAGATGCTACTTCACGACTAAGGAAAAGCCTGAAACCATCTGAAACTCCTTCGTCGTTTCCACAGAATCTGGAGATATATGTCATTAATTTCTCGAGTTTTCCTCTGACTCCTGTTCAGATGCAAGTGCTATCACTTGGCCCAAAATTTTGCCATGTATCGAGTAAAACCAACGAATTACAAACTAAAGTGCAGTTTGAGAATTTAATGTCACAGACATCCGATTTGTCACCTACTTCGGAAAAAGATCTGGATCAATTCAAAGCTTCAATTCTTGACAGCTGTTACAAGTACATTCGTACGCAACCGAGCCACCGTTATCTACTGACCAAGGAACACAGAAGACAACTTAAACAACTTCAAGTAAATAAAGACATAATCCTCGTCCGTCCTGATAAGGACAGTGGGATTGTAGTAATGAATAGATCCGATTATAATGAGAAATTGACAAATATAATATCAGACAACACCAAATTCTTCGAATCACCCAACCAGAAAGACACAACCGAAAGAACAGAAAACCTACTTACAAAATTACTGAAGAGAATGAAAGAAGATTCAGTCATAACACCGGAGGTTTATGAGCAAATAAAACCATGCAATTCAATTATTCCAAGACTGTATGGACTGCCTAAAGTGCATAAGGAGAATGTCCCACTTCCACCGGTCATAGACATGATTAACTCACCATATCACCGAATCGCGAAGTGGCTAGCTGATACTCTCGAACCAGTTAAAAGACATATGACAAAATATAGCCTCAGAGACACATTTGACTTCATCGACTCAGCGAAGGATGTCAATGTGTCAGAAAGACAAATGATCTCACTAGATGTCGCCTCTCTATTCACAAGTATCCCCCTAACCGAAACAATATGCTTCATTTGTAATTACATCGAAACCAACAACCTAGAAGTTCCTCTCCCCATAAACTACCTGAAGGAACTTCTCAGATGTACGTTCAATATCCAGTTCAAATTCAATGAACAGTTCTATGTACAGAAAGATAAAGTAGCCATGGGGTCCCCTCTCGGTCCACTCCTAGCCGACTGTTTCATGGCGAGTCTCGAAAACAACATCTTTGATAAGTCAACTGAACTTATACAAGAGATACGTAGATGATACGTTTATAATCTGTGATGAAAAATGTGAATTAGGTTCTCTCCTCAAAACCTTCAACGCAGTGCATCCATCAATAAGATTCACCTTAGAACGCGAATCGAACAACTCATTTCCATTCCTCGATGTACTACTCATCAGAAGACACGACTGTACGATCCAAAGATCGATATACCGCAAGCCAACATGGACTGGACAGTTCATCAACTTTCAGAGCTTTGTTCCACTGATCCGAAAGAGAAACCTGGTACGTACATTGTGTTGAAGGATTAGAAAAATCTGCTCGGAAGACATGGTAGAGAGAGAATTAAATTTATTACGTGAAACCCCACTAGAGAATGGGTATCCACCAAGGTTTATCGACAAAAACATGAATGAGAGGCCTCCGGTGTCAAACATCACAACGGTTCCTAAGAAGTTTCTCTTCAAGAACGTAGCACTCAAAAGCGATATCGCAGCGGAAATTCGCAAAAGCCGCCTTTCTAAAAGTCTGAAGACATATCCAACAACCACTCTACACGTATCACACTTTCTTGCAGACAGTTAATCTAGTCTAACGCTAAGGACAAGATACCGCTTTTGTTCACTTCAATGTGTATTTATTAATTTACTTGCTCGTGTGGAGCAAAGTATACCGGCCTTACGTAACGTCAAGTCCACAAACGTATTCTGGAACACTGCCCAGCTTGGTTAGCCAGAGGAGAAAAGAAGAATAACAACAGCTCGATCCTCGAACACCTTGTCATCTCCGGACATCGAGCACCCCCACATGAATGCTTCACAGTGTTACACAGAGTCCCTCAATATCGTACAAAGGGACTTCGGATACGCCATCTGTGCATAGCTGAAGCATTAGCTTTTCGAGATCTGAAACCGGACCTGCGCATACAAAAGCGATAAATACATTATCTTGCCCTACCATGGCCAGAGTAAAGTTCTTACTATAATTTTACTTCTTTCCTTTAATATGTAAGTTCACTATTACTATTATTATTATTAATACTTTTATTATCATTATTATTCCCATCATCCACATTTTATTACCACTCTATTGCTGTTTATTAATAACATTGCTTTTTCATACAGATTTTATACAAAAACACTTTATAGTCTTTCCACTAGTTTCTGTCCATTCTACACGAGCCTATTGATTAGTCATTATCTCACACTTGTTAAGACATGCCAACTTCTGTCCCCTTTCTAACTTACAATTAGTCAACCCTTCTTACACCTTACATTATGTAGTACAATTTTCAAGGACAAAGTTTACCATTATCTGATTGGTCTAAAGATTTCTTTATTAATTATAATTACGATTGTAAAGCTCATGAAAATGAATCGTCGATAAGAAAATTTTTTCGGTCTTCGTACGTTTTTATTTTAAAATGCTTTTTAAAGCTAACCTGAAAGTATTTTATTTCAATTCACGTACAAACCATTTTTTTGACCTCGTCTTCACGCAGAATATGCCAACTGAGGTATTTTTTAATACTTACTCATGTACGTTGTAGATATTTTACGGTAAATAGTTCGTAAATTAATCCTAATCAAACAGTGCAAATTTGCGCATAAATTATTTTGATGTAGAGCTGAGCTAACAGAATCGCTTGGATTAGAAAATAAAAGCTAACAAACCAGTTATTTTGAAGAGATTCAAACGGTTAATCAACATGCCTCTATCCAACAATATTGCACTAATTAAGAACAATTGACTAATTGAAATAATGCAAGGCAATAAACATGACATAACTTTCAATGTTTCACTCTAAATAATAAGTCAAAGCCAACGATAAAAACAGAAACTGAGTTGGAACTTAAAACAATCTTAGGAAAATGCTCACACCGATGGAAATGATCAACACTAAGAAATCAGTCATCAGATGTTATCAGTTTAAACGAACAAAAAGTGTCTCTTTCACCTCGTCCCAGAAAATTTCAATTTAGCTGACCTCAGACATAACTTTTCCGGTTTACCAACAACTTGTAGCAGAATATACCTGTAGACTGAATGGAACTAGGTCTATTTTAACGACATAAATGAAAACTATCTAAGAATACACTATCAAAAGAATAGAAGTAAGAACTCAGGTAACTGCCTGTAGTTTAACATTTTATAGTGCTATATAATATATATATATATATATAATTGCGTTCACCGTCGAGAATTCAAATAACTACACTTAGTACTGAAGTCTGGCCTGAAGATATTGTCCATAAAGACAATAAAGCTACGCAGTTAAACCACCCAGCTCAGAAATCTCATCCCATCAGGAAAGTTATCCACTGTTACTGTTGAAGGGGGGAAAACAGGAATTTTCACGATTACCATAGGACAATTCAAACAGAGCAGTTTTCTCACTGATAATACTTGCTTGATTCCTATTTTCTCAAATATTATTTAAATCAATATATACACGCAAAATTTTTGTTTTAATTTTTACCAATTGATGATGGCTTTGAATTAAAACTTTCAAGCAATAATTTCTGTCTATATTTCATTTGTTGCTTATTTTGTTTAGTATTTTGTCTTAGTGTATTGAACGGTTCTGGAATTAAACGCTCAATAAATCCCTTGAAATATTTATAATCCTTTACAGTTTCTTTTAGTCTTGTAATCTCCGCATTGATTTGTGATTTTTGTAGAGTTAACTGTTTAATTTTATCAACCATCATGGCGCGTTTACGACCTTCCTGTTCAGAACTAGAAAGAAAAAACAAGTATTACTGCTCATCACAGTGACTTCTCTGGGAAATTAAAAATGTTCAAATGAAAGTAGGAAAACTTAAACAATTCACTGCAACTGTTAAAATGAATATACAGAATATGGATCTTTCACACAGATTGTTTCTAAAGCTTGAATTCCAGCAGACAATTTCATTTTAGGTTCAGATCGTAGATTACAATATTAAATTGCCAAAATTGTCAGAGATAGGTTCTGTCGATATAATCACCTGTGATTTATCCTGTAACATTATTGTTTAGCATAAATGGCAAACAGTATGTTATAAGCCCACACTATACCCTTATGTTCACCATATCTTGAAAGTTGAAGGTATAAACTGGGACTATGAGAATAGAAAGACTAACATAAATCCCTGTGTAATGATACATCATTTCAAGCCAAGACAATTTGGAGTGAAATGACAACACAACAGGGAAACACAAGTACCAGAACATAGAGGAGAAACTAACAGAAATTAGTAAAGATGCCTTTTATTTTGAAATGATACATGTAAACCACTGTCAAGGATTTTAAGCCTTGTCAAAAAATCTTTCAGTTATCTATTCTTACCACTTAGATGACTCCAGTTATCCAACCTACACCTTCAAAAGTGTGACTGAGCACATGAGAATAACTGGATGAAATAATACCATGCTTTGATTTGACCACCTTTGACTCTTTTGCATCACAATCCTATTTCAACCAGCACTACATGCGGAGGAATATGGTTGCTTGACATACTACATATTTTATCGGTCCCGCAAATCCACCTGAAGAGTATAAGTTAATGAGTGAAGTTCGATATATTTTGTTTGTTCTTCGGTTAAATTACAGAACACTTTGGAAATTATGGGCTTCACCACCCTTTTGAAACCCCTTTAGAATAACTCGCAAGCCTGTCGAAGATGCTTTTAAGGCGTACTTCCAGTGGGCATGCCCTTGCATATCCATATGCAAAGATAGTACGTAAGAAGTGCGACATACTAAATACGCTGCTTTATATAACATCACTGATTAAGAAAAAATTAGATATAAGGAAAAAATTTATAGGTTTTGAAGATCAAAAACTGGAACGAGAATGGTAACCAACGATTGAATATCAATCTTATAGATCAGCATGACCTGATCAACCAATAATTATTCACCTCAACACAATTTATTGAGATAGTAATTACGTACATGGGTGCTATGTGGTTACTTCGAAAGTGTTAAAAACAGTAATGGTTTTACTATAGAAAGGAATCATTAAGACAGGTTTGCAAGAAGTTTCAGTTACTAAATTACCGTACAGTTAGCGGATGCTGTTTACGAGCCATATGAAAAACCTCTTGTTTGAGACATATTAGATCTTACTCGAGTAAGGCACCGAATCAGGTTCATGGTTTGCAATAGACGTCACAAGCGCGATAACTTGCCGCGGTGACGAAAGTTGAATAGGAAATAACCTTACATATAAGTTGAATCTATTACAAATACAACGAACTTCTCATAGTAGGCACATACTCATTGCCATTACTATGAGGGCGAAAATCTTGAACCAACCTAGCAATTGCTTCGACAGAACTCTTATCATTCTCCTTTAAAAACTCGTCGAAAAGTGCAGCATCTTGTTCTAAACACTGTTCAGCAAGTTCTAGCTTTTTCTCTTCGTGAGACGCTAGGTCAACCAATCGTTTTAGTTCTGCCCGCTGAACAGCGATAGAATACTCCAGAAAAAACATTTCTCGCCTATTCGCAATGAATTGATCCTTTGTTTCTCTGTCAGTGAATTGTCCTACAAGCACATGAAAATAAAAAAAACTAACATACTTTTTGTTTTCTGTAAGATAAAAGCAGTATTGTCCGCATCAGTGGTGCTATCTCTTATGTCGGTAGAAAGTTCTTCGAGGAAAGAACGTCTTGTTTTAACTTGTTTGTCATATGGAATTTTCTCATGCACTTTTAACTGAGAAAGCTCCCTTACCCTCTAAACAGCTGAGTTATAAAATCCACCAATGGAAAAAACCTTGAGCTTTTCTTCCTTCTCTTTATCTCTTAATTCAAATATAGTCTCAAAATCCGGGAGAATGAAAGGGTTCGATGTCATTCCGTAAAACTTTAAAAAACAAGATGTGCGTTGCGGTGATAACAACGTTCAGGATATAAGTAAAACAAAACTTCTGGATTGTACTCTAAAGTCTTCTATTTCACAGTTTCGCGACTCTTTTTAACTCATCTTTGAATAAAATGATATTACCTGAAGGTTTCACGCTTCTTATCTGACTTAATCATATTCAATATCCAATATCCTGATTACAAGCTAGTATAAACCAGTGATTTCTTTGAGCTCGCTTCTTGATTGTGAGGTAGATGTTCCAGATCTTCGGTGAGCTTCTGCATAGTAAGCCCCGCCACTCGACTGCTTTAGCTCTGGTAGACTCCAAGAGGAGTGGTGCGGGGATTGGTCAAGTTGTGGTTTGTTGTATGCAGTATGTTAGGACTGTATTGCTGTCGTGAATGGAGTTTGACCTAACTCCCGTTGGTCATTCGGTGTAGTCATAAAAGCAGAATAATAATAATAATAATGGGTTGTAGTGTAGATAATATAGGTTGAGATAAGTGGAATAATAAAGGTGACCTAAGGAAAAGATAGAGTGAGAGAATGCAGAACAGGTCGTGGGGATTTGGTTTGTACGCTTATCCATTGACAGTGTGGTTTTAAGTTTTATGAGGATAAGCCATTGAGACACTAACCTTGCATTTCTGCATGATTGTCTAGCTTCCGCTTAAAAATCTCCAGAGAAGGCGCTGTAGTCATGGCCGCCGGTAAAGCGTTCCAGAGACGGCAAACACGAAGCGAAAAGAAATGTGATCGCACCCGAGTCTTTGGTCTCTGGTATGCTATACTTAGCGGGTTACCTCGTGGAAGCCTATAATCACCTAATGGCAGAATGCTTTTATTTGGGTGGGCCTGGTCATTTAAGATCTGGTAGACGGTGATGAGGTCTCCCCTGTGCCTACGGTAACTAAGTGTGAAAAGACCTAATTTCTTTAGTCGTTCCTCATATGATTTGTTGCGGAGGCCGATCACCCATTTTGTCGCTCGTCTCTGGACACTTTCTAGAATGTTAGCATCTCTTTTGAGTAGCGGAGGTGCAATGATATTATGCACCTCAAGATGTGGCCTCACATATGCCTTATATAACCTTAAGAACAGTTCGGGAGTGAGAGCTCCCAGCTGCCTATGCATAAAGTGTAAAGTTGCGGAGGCTTTGGCGACGTCCCTCGCGTAATTTCCACTGGTGTCTAGCTTTTCTGTTAGAATAAGACCTAGATCGCGCTCTGATGGAACACAACTCAAGTTCTGGCCACCAAGGGTGTAATTTACACTCTGTGACCTGCCGGAATGAAGTTGCACTACTTTGCACATCTTTAGGTTGAAAGGCATTCCGTTAGCCAGAGCCCAGTCTCCCAGAGTTTGCAGGTCCGCCTGCAATCTATCTGAGTCTTCCGATGAGTTTATTGCTCTCCAAATCTTTACGTCGTCAGCGTAAAGAAGCGTAGAGCAGTTTAGTTGGGAGGGCAGGTCGTTGATAAAAATCAAAAACATCAACGGCCCTAAGACAGAACACTGAGGAACCCATGATGCCGAGGTGTGCCAGGATGATCGGATGCGGTTGACTTTGGTGCAGAATTCTCTCTCGCCTAAGTAATCTTTCAGCCATGCGGGAAGTGCTATAGAAACACCCACCTTGCTTATTTTGTGAAGGAGTAGACCATGGTGAACTGTGTCGAATGCTTTTGCAAAGTCGAGAAAGATCACGTGGGCTGGTACCTTTTCGTCCCAGGATAGTGTCCAATCGTTCCAAGCTAGTAGAAGATTCGTCACGCAGGATCTTCCCCTCCTGAAACCGTGCTGTGCTTCGTGAAGAAGGTTAGTCCCATCGAAGTATTTTCTCATGTGGTCGTCAATGAGACTTTCCAATATTTTCGATATCACTGGAAGTAGAGCAACTGGCAGCATTCTGCCGGTCACCACCCTTGAAGATAGGGGATAGGATTGCTCGTTTCCATTCACATGGAAGTTTCCCTACATCAAGGGAGTGTTGGAACAGATCACTTAGGGGTTGGTAGAGACTTTCTGAATACTGCTTCAGGACAGATGGTCTGATGTCATCACAACCTGAAGACTTTCCCGAAGCCAACTTTCCCAATTTTACAAGTACCATAGCCATGGGAATTTGAAATGTACCCAGCAGGTTTTCGCGCGTTGGTTTTGCGATGTAATCTTGATGTTCTGTGGGGGTAATATCCTCACTACTGTTTAGTTAGTTGCCTGTGAAAGGCTAGGCTGAATGCCTCTGCCATTTCAAGACTAGTAAGAGATTTCCCATCAGAACCCACTAGATTGCATGCTCCCTGGTTGGTCGGTTTTCTTTCGGACATAAACCTGTATAGGCTTTTGGGGTTCACGAGAAGCTTATTGGCGAGGTTTCCCTGAAATGTCCTTCTATCGCTCCGGACTCGTATGTTACATCGATTCCTGAGTTCAAGGTACACTTCATGTTCGGGTTGACTCTTCGATCGTCGCCACGCAAACCAGGCTTTTCGCTTCGCCTGCAGAAGGCGTTGTGTCCCCCTTTTTAGCCATGAATGTTGCTTCCTAGCTTTTGGTGTGACTAAAGGAACAGTGTCTGAGACCGCCTGGTGAATGATCTCCTTTACCACTCTCCAGTGTTCTTCTACTGTTAGCTCTGTCCATTTTTTAGGTCAATTTGCTTCAGACAGAAGTCTTCGCATTTTGGTGTAGTTGGCTTTGTTATAACACAGATAGGGCTGTGTATTGTCCCACTGTAAGCGCTCGCGGAGGACTATGTCGAATACTATGACCGCGTGGTCACTACTACCTATGGGAGTCGTGATCTGAACGTTTTCCACTAGTAGCTGGTCACTAGTGAGCACGTAATCCAGTCTAGAAGACTTCCCATCAGGGCCCCATCTAGTATCCATCTTGACATTTTCAGTGAACCCAGCCTTCCTGATGGTATGCAGCAGATTTCGATCAAATCTATCATGGGCTTTTCCCGACACCAAGTTAAGAGATGGGGCATTGAAGTCACCAGCTATGACAATTTGATCATAACCCATGTCTTGAGTTGCTGAGATTGTATTTAGCAGTACCTGGTTGTGGTCTGCTCCACATGAAGGTGATCGATAAATGCTGCCCACTAGATATTTGCAGTACCCAACGGTGAAGTGGCACCATATGGAGTCAGGGAGCTCTGTGAGGGGAGGGTCCATCGCGTGAACACATCTGAGCTGTTTGTCGACGTATATGGCGACTCCACCTCCTTCTTTCAGGTCCCTATCTCGCCTGACTAGGACCATATCATTTATACTGACTTCGCTGTCTGCCACCGTAGGGGTTAGCCAGGTTTCCGTCAGTATTATGATTTTGGAGTTTAGTTGTGATTGTAGGTGTCTAAGTTCAGCTATTTTGCCTCTTAGCCCTCTCACATTACTATACAGGCAACTGGTAGTCAGTCTCACCACTTCCCCGTATTGGGGGTAGTTGACTTGATATTGGCTATCGGTTGAGGAGTTATCCTACGAACTAGTTGGCCGATTCCCCAGGAACCGGCCTGTTGGCGCATTTTTCTTCTAGTTCAGTCGGAGCACTCGGATGACACTGGCTATCATCGTCCGTGCTGCACCGCTGTAGTGTGACTAGGGGTTGAGGATTTTCTTTTACTACGCTTTGTTCTCTCCTTTGAGTGCGAGGCCGGCTCTCGCAGCAGCGAATGTGTTTGCTGACCTTGTCCTTGGTCTCGTACCATCTATGGAGAGCGGTAGTCAACTGGTCTTGGGAGCTGAACTTGACAGCTAACAGATGTGGCGTGTTAATTGACATAAGATGAGTGGGTCGAGGCAGTCTATAAATAGAGACAGCCCCTGAACTCCCCAGGGCCATCTGGGATGCCAACCATCTCCATTGTTGTACATCATGACAATGCTTTTCGCAGGCGTTCCCAGTTACCAGTTCGGGAATGCCATGCACAACCATGGAGGCAGAAGGAATGAGCTCTGGAGACTCCCTCGCCATTTGTCTTTCCTTCCACGGCCTGTCTGGCTTAACACGTATGTTACAGGCCCTCCCTATAGAAAGGACTTGAGAAGCCAGTAACACTTTTTCAACATCCTCGGTAGAGCCCAATGTTACCCTCAGTGGGGATGGTTTACCTTCAAGTGCAGCAGTGCCCCTATACAATCTGCATAGATTTACCGGTTGGATGTCCAAACCCAGTGTGCTACACAAGAAGGACCACTGTTCCTGATCAAATAGGGCCCTATCTTTCAGCAGACTACTACTACAGTCTGGTACATTAAAGAGGATTACACAATTTGATCTACTAACCGTCGGCTTGGGCTTGGTCCTCGCACATTTGTGATCCCCTTTAAGACTGTTTTCTTTCGTCTGGTGCGACTGGGTATTTTTGTGTGTCTCAGTGCTATGTCCAGTATTACTGGCAGACGATAGGGGTCTTTTTCCAACGACGGAAACCCGTGGTGCTCCAGCCTCTGTGTCTGGAGCGACTATGTCAAGAGTTACAAGTTTAACCGGTGAGGATTTTGGTATCCCCGGTTTACGTGCGTTTCTACTAATTTCCGAATTGGTAGGGGTCGAACATTTCACATTTTCCCTGCTACTTTTGCGCCAACTTTAGTTTTCAGGGGACTACTCGAGGCTACATTAGGACAGCAACTCAGGCATATGTACCAGAACCATTGGCATGGGTTCTTACGCATAAAGGCAGGTACCTTCCTACATGCAACCAGTAGTGCTTTAAATCTTCATCCTTACCTATCGTCCCTTATACTAACAAATTCTTCGTAAAAAATTACTGTGAATTATGCAAGTGGTGTGTCTTGAATGTTGGTGTTGATTATTCAATCCCAAACCCCGGCCGTAATGTTTAGGGCTATTTACTATCACACACAAACTGTTTGACACAGTTCTTGGGAGCTGATGAATGAAAAATTCATTTATTTCAGAGCGAGATTTTGACTTCTTTGAACTGTTAGCAAAAATTTTGATCTTGTTTTTCATGTAGCTCGATATTTTAAGATGTAAACATTTTGTCAGCTGTATGAATGATGAAATTCAGCATGTCCTACAGAACCTTTATGTTAGAAGTTTTATTGGGACTACGACAAACAG